GAATTAAAAACAAGTTCACAAATCAAGAAAATAATACTTATTTACCTCATTTTATTGGCATTAATTAGTTGGTAAGTATAAAGAACATTTATTAATCATTGGAATTACACAAATCAAGAACATAATACTTATCTACCATTACTTAATACCCTTCAAATCATTTCATTCGTATTAATCATTTTATTCAGCTTGTGAGTATTTATTAATAATTGAAATTAAAACAGCAAAGCAAGTTCGCAAATCAAGAACATAAATACTTATTTACCATTACGTAATACCATTCAAATCATTTCATTCACGTTAATCATTTATTCAGTAAGTGAGTATAAATAACATTTATTGATCATTGGGATTAAGAACAGTAAAACAAGATCATAAATCAAGGACATAAATCCTTATTTACTATTACTATTACGTAATACCCTTCAAATCATTTCATTCGCATTAATTTAGTCGGTGAGTGTAAAGAACATTTACAATTAAAAACAGAAATTCAAGCTTACAAATCAAGAACATAAATACTTATTTACCATTACGTAATACTCTTCAAATAATCTCATTCGCATTAATCCAGTCGGTAAGTAAAAAATTAATTACATTTGGTATAAAGTTTAAAATAGCATTTGCAGATGAAATAAAATATTATAAATTATATGTTGTATTATAAAGCGACTCTAAATATGGAACATGTGCGTATTGTAATGAAGATAACACGCAACCAGCATGGTGTATATCATGCGACCCTGACTTAGAAACAGCAAGGTGGACAAGTAGAAATAACGATATTGATGATTGTATAAAAATGAACCAACTTAGAACCCGTGCATATGAAAATGCGATCGAATGGATTCCATTTGATAGGTTATCTGATGTTAAAGAAATTGGCAAAGGAGGATTCGGCAATATATATTCAGCAATATGGTTGGATGGCATGCGAAAAATCGACAGCAATGTAAGATCACGTGAAGCATGCAGTATCGTTGCACTAAAGCCCATTTCTTTAAAAGAAGTAAGCAGAATCTATTTTATTCAGCAATTTATTAAATATATAATGAACTAATTTATCTAATTAATTATAAAGCTTGAAAATCATATAACATGTAGTTTGTATGGTAATAAACTTAAAATATACGGATTAACTCAAGACAGCGAAAATAAATACATGATGGTATTTCAATATGCCAATAATGGAGCTCTTCACAGGTTTTTAAGAAATAATTTTAGTGATCTTACCTGGAAAACTAAATTAAAACAGCTTCTCGATATTTCAAGTGATTTAAATAGTATTCATAGAGCAGGATATATTCATGCAGACCTTCACAGTGGCAATATTTTACTAGATGAAGACGTTAGCACAACTTTGAAATCTTATATCTCTGACCTAGGATTGTCCAAAAAAGAAAAAGATCAAGATCCAAATGATGCTATTTATGGAGTTATGCCTTATGTAGCACCGGAGGTTTTATCAGGTGAATTTCATACGCAAGCTGCAGATATTTATAGCTTCGGAGTCATCATGTCAGAGATGTCAACCGGACAAAGACCTTTTGATGGTGACGAATTTGATATAAAACTTGCAGTAAAGATTTGCAGATTTGGATTGCGTCCTAAAATTGCCTTCAAAACTCCTAGTTGCTATGTTGAATTGGCTAAGCAATGCATGGATTCTGATCCAAAAAGACGGCCTACTGTAAATGATATTTGGAAGGAACTTAATGAATGGAATGAAAGCATGGAAAGTTCAGATGATGCAAATGAAATCAAAAAGCAATTCTTAGAGGCAGATAAAGCAATCAAAGATTTGCCAATTTTCTCATCAAAACATCCCGATTATATGTACACTAGCAAAATAATCAATACACGAAAAATATCAGAAGCAATTAAAAGAGATGAAATTAAAGGTAATTGTGTAAAATTACACTAAATATCATCAAACTTACTAATGATACTTCCGTTCAATATTAAATTCAATAGGTTTGATATCTTTTTTATGCGAATTTTTAAATATGATTATTTCTATTAATAACAGCTTATTTATAACTGTTCCGTTAATTTCACCGAAAATCACTTTATCGACAACTTGGAAATATCAAAAGCAATTAAAAGAGATGAAATTAAAGGTAATTGTGTAAAATTACACTAAATAGCATCAAATTTACTAATGATACTTCCGTTCAATATTCAAATTCAATAGGTTTGATATCTTTTTTATGCGAATTTTTTAAATATGATTATTTCTATTAATAACAGCTTATTAATAACTGTTCCGTTAATTTCACCGAAAATCACTTTATCGACAACTTGGTTCACAATTAATTTAAAAGACAAGCCTATTTTTACCAACAATTAATTCACAAACAAGTTCTTCACGGCCAGTTTATTTCACTGACAAAGTAATTATGGCCATTGTCTTTAGGATCAGGTTCAGAATTAAAGTTAGTGCAATTTATAAAAAGAATTTGTCGGTGAAATAAAATGTCTGAAATGAACTTGTCTATGAATTAATCGTCGGTAATTAAGCTTGTCTATAAGTTAATTGTGAACGAAGTTGTCAATTAAGTGTTTTAGGTGAAATAATACGGATCCATAAGCTTTACTTTTTATTACATTTTATAGAACTTAATAGTTCTATAGTCAACAAAAATTGGTTCCAAATTGCGGTTAATGAATATCACCTGAAAGCAATATTTTACGATGATCTTGGAAAATTGAAGTATATAGATCGTGGTGCATATGGAAATGTTTTTTGTACTTCTTGTAAATCAATACAATGTGAAAAGATTGCTGCAAAAGAAATATATATTCCAGAAAATGCAGATGAAAAACAAATTAAAATGTTTCTTAACGAGGTTTGTTTTATTAAGACTTAGTGAGGATATTATTTTAGTATATTCTTTTGATATAATTTTCGACGTTTCTATAACCCTTAATTAGTTAAAATTACATAGTCAAGTTTCACATCCACAAATTATCAAATTTTATGGAATAAGTCATGGTTAGTGGTTTATATTTTTTTCATCAAATGTAATGAAATAATCTAGTTATCGCCGGCGGTGACAGTCACCAGATCGTGTTATGGGATCAAAACAAACGCTAAAGTTGATTATCGTTAGGGGGTTAGAATTGAGTTATGATATACCATATAGTAGCACACAAAAGGTGTAAAATTTTGTGCTAACGCGAATTGTTGAAAATTTTCAATGTTTTCTTCGTTTTCGGGTTAATCTTGATCCCGTGATGTAAGTGGCCAATTGCATCTACCCCAGTATCGTCAAAACAAACGTCGCTTTGTCAAAAATCACTTATTTCTCAAGAAACCACCTTTCATGCACTAATAAAAAGGTTTCATTGAACGATTTTACTATATAATTGCCTAAACCCAAATCCTAATATAAGGACTTACCCAGACCCTAAACGAACTTAAAGGATATTGCGTTGGTCATGTGGGTGAATTTTGATGGCGATACTAGGGAGATGGTCGATTGCAACCCGGTGACTGTCACCGCCGGCGACAAATAGATTCGCTCTTTATTAATATTTAATTATAATTAATTATAATAAAGATTCCCATCGTGAAGTTTACTACGTTTTGATGGAATACGCAGAAGGTGGAACTTTACCAAAATATTTGAAAACCGCTAAACTTTCTTGGAAAGGGAAAGTTGAATTAGCAATACAAATAGTTGAAGGAATATCTTATTTACACAGTACTGCAGTATGAAGATCGTTCATCGCGATTTGGTATGCATTATTTTAAAATAATTTATTTTAAAATAATTTAAAGTAATTTTAATCCAACAAGTAATATGAATTTTACTAGCATCCGAACAACATCCTCATTCATAATGGAGGTGTAAAAATCACTGATTTTGGCTTATCAAAAGACCTCAATAGTAAAATGTCATCTAAAAATAATTTTTTTGGGATACTTCCTTATGTTGATCCCCAAAAGTTTATCGACAATAGATACGATCTGAATGAAAAGTCAGATATTTATAGTATTGGTGTCTACAGTTGTTAGGCGAAACCTAGGAGTTTCGCCACTAGCGAAAGGCGAAACCTAGGAGTTTCGCCACTGGCGAAAGGCGAAACCTAGTTTCGACTTTCGCCAAAAAAAATTTAAAAAGA